ATGTGATATTTTCCATGAAATTCGTTGCAATCAAACATGGCCTAAGTGAGATGTGGGTCTTCAAGATGTTTAATTCACCTATATTTCCCTATCTTTTATGGTATATAATTCGTGGATTTGGTGGCGGTGGTGTTTGGTTGGGTGGGGTGGGGTGGGGTGAGGAATAAGATGGACTTTTATTTTTCATTTTTCATTTTTTTATTTAATTATTTTAAATTTGAAAATATAAAGTTATTATTTTATCCTTGTGAAATTGATTAGAAGTTGGTCAAAGTTAAACTTTTTTGTCAACTAACAGCAATTTGGACTTTAGTTACAACGTTTTTAAAGATTTTGGATGTCGGTTGCAACAAATGAAATGTCAAGAGAAAGTTAGCAACATTTTAAAAGGCTTGAGGGCGCAACTGTAATTATCCCTAAACAATTTACTATAATCGGGATTTCTTCCTGTTTCAAAAATTTTACCAATTTTGGTCTTTTGTCCCCTTTAAATGTCATGGGGAAAATAAGTGTAATACGTAAAATACACTTTAAAAAGTTTAGCAAATGGTAACATTTTTTTTTCTAAATTCCATCATGGCTATTAACCCTGCAAAAATGCTATCAATGTTGATAGCGAGGAATAATGATAATTGTACATTAGGAGTTGCAGAAAATCTTATAAATTGATGAGGTGTTAAAGTGAGAGTGAGAAAGTTTTTTTTTTTTTTTTTCTTTTGTACTTAGTTGAAAAAATTTTAATACAATCATATTTCACCAAATTATAAATTTATAAACCAATATGTAAATAGTAATATACACGTAGCACAATTGAAATTTGAGTTGAAGAATGCAAGAAAGGGAAAATAATTCCAAGGTCCCCATCTGAACCCCCCACCCTAGTAATTAACAGTATAAAAAATTATAAAGAGGTGTCAACCTAATTAGAATGGTGTATAATATCTCTAACAACTTTGTTGAAAAACAAAAAAAAACATCAGTATTCTCCTAATATATAAATCCCATTCCCTGGTGTGCAAAGCCTGCTTGTACTGAGGCCAGAAAATTGTCCATGGCTCTAAGAAATGTCGAGAAATTAATTACAGCGAAGAAGGAAATCAACAGGGGAGCATGGACGGTGGAAGAGGATCGGAAACTGGCAGAAGCCGTCGAAATCCACGGCCCAAAGCAGTGGAAGACCATTGCCACCACCACAGGTCAAATGATGTCTTCATCTACTACTGTATGTATACATATATTAGCTTGAACAATTAAGTTTCCAATAAGTATAAATTTATATGCAGGACTGAATCGGTGTGGTAAGAGTTGCAGGCTTAGATGGATGAATTATCTTAGACCAAACATCAAGAGAGGAAGTATGTCTGATCAAGAAGAGGATTTGATCCTCAGACTTCACAAACTCCTAGGAAACAGGTGGCAAAATTGGATTTTGAAAACTCAGAATTTAAATTTATTGAGGACTAGACTTAGTTTTTTTTATGTTGGATTTCAGATGGTCCTTGATTGCCGGAAGATTGCCGGGTCGAACAGACAATGAAATCAAGAATTACTGGAAATCCCATTTAAGCAAGAAAATTGAGAAATCGAATGAAGGAATTTCAAGAAAAGAAGAAGATTCCAAGAGTGAAGAAAAGATTAACACATCCAAATCCACTGTTACTGGTTCTTCTGAGGACCCAAAAATCAGCTCTGATTTGGATGACTTTTTTGATTTCTCCAATGAAAATCCCTCGACTTTAGAATGGGTAAGCAAATTTGTTGATTTTTGTTCATAATCTCCAATAATTGATGTTTACAAGGGTTGACCAAAATATCAAGTTGATTTTGTAGATCATTAGTGTGTAAATTATACTTTTTAACTTCTCTTTCGTGCTTATCGATTATTCCGAGAAAATAACGATGGAGATAGATAGACGGTCAGCATAAAATTTTGACACGCATAATATTGTTCAAAATAGCGCACTTGGTAGAATGTTGGGAGAGTACTATCCTCGTATCAATGAATTAGATGCACAACAATAGGATGTCCGATCTGCCGACTCCCATCATGTCATGTCCAATCCATGGTAACACTCGTGATCCAACAACAAAAATAGGCTTCGTCTAAGAATTGAATTTGAAGTCAGACTAATTTTCATCCGGTCCTAGTAATCTTTTGAAAGACAATACGCGTTTCATTGAAGATAATATATGATATAATTCGAAAAATTTCTTCAATTTGGACACCGATGACAACTGATCTTGACTCAGGTCATACACAGGATGTGTTAATTGCAAGTTTTCTTTGACGAAGAGGCAGAAAACTTGTTACAAAATAATAGTAAATAAATATCGATTTAACAAATACCAGATGTGCAACTAACTTATTGTATAACTAGGAATATCAAATGGACACATACCGGCAATGCAACTAACTTACAGTATAAGAAGAACACATATCGGCAGTGCAACTAACTAATTGTATGGACGCATACTATCTAAGTAGATACCATATAAACAAATACCAGTTGGACAACTAACTAACTGAATGTTAGCCAAAATATTACAGATTAAATAATTTTATTAATCACAATAAACAGAAAAGAACAAGTAATAGAAATTGCCGGAAATAAAATGTAATGAAATTTGAAACCGAAGCCTGTGTGAACACAATTTGCTTACAACAGATTCGCCCTCTCATCGTAGGTGCTTGAAATTTAGTTCGAGCGTCTGTTTTCCCGGATACAGCGAAAAATCAGTAAAGTCTGAGCACTGTAGATGCTATTTCGGCAAACTGACTTACTATGTGAACAATATCACCACCAAGACTGATAGAAAAATTAAAATATACAGAGATTTTGTTATATCCAGAGAAGATAAATTTTTCGTGTATTTGTAAAGGAAGACGATGTTTAAATAAATAAACTGTAATGAAAAATTAACAATCTGGAGTTATATCATTAACCACCATTAACCCAACTGTTAATCTCTTCATTAACACAGATATAATCTCTTCAGTCAATGAGCGTGCATTTTCACATTGACTGTGCATGAACAAAAGAATGAACAAGATATATATATATTACTCACATATTTCTATTTGTCAATAAACTTGATTGTGCAATATTGAGTAATATAATCACGCCAAGTAGTGCAGATCAATTAGTGATTCACGTAGCACAATTCTTGGATAGACATGTTCCCTTTATTGTCGATAAAAAAAATTACTTTACGCCCCTGTTCGTTGATTAAAAAAAGTCAACTTTCTTCCCATTTTACAGACAGGTACAATGAAACAAGTAGAAAAGCGAAAAAGAGAAAAACACCTTGTACGAGTTTATCCATTCACACCACAATCAGACTTTTACATCACGTGGGTACAATGCATACAAACCATCAAATGTTTGTAATGACTGATAAAACAAGGTTAGTCCCCCCATTTTTCTAAAAATACATTTTTTTTTCTTAAAATTCATTTTTACTCCACATTCTGCTGTAAAATAATATTACATATAAACTTAAAACTTAAACAGAAATGAACAAGGACCTTGGTTTGAACTATAGCTGGCCTCTACAGCTGAGTCGGGCCAGAATGTCAATTCATGGACCGATCTGCCTCTACAGGGTGGAGACCCATGCCAAGTTGTGGGCTGGCCTATACCTACAGCTGGTTGGGTCGAGTCAGACTCAACTGTATTTGTCCCATCTAAAAAAAAAAAAAATAGTGTATTTGAAAAGTAGAAGTGCAAAACAAATAATTCCTATCCATTATCCAATTCCACATTTCATCCTTAAATTCTGGAAACCTAATTTACTCCCAAAACCTGCCATTCTTATACTTCTTAAATCTCAGGCACAACCTCATCCAATTTGTGTTATTATCTTCCTCAATCCAATTTTCATAGTATTAATTATTGAATCCCCAATCCCCGAAAAGCTGAAATCCTTACCTTTTCTGCTTTTGCACCAAAAATTCTGCAATATAGAACCCGAAATTTTTAATTTGGAGAAAACAATTGATTTTTTTTATTTATTTCAATGATCAACATTTTCGGTATTTTTTTGCTATGAATTTCTCTGACTATTTCTCTCACACACAAAAAAAGGTGGAAATTTATAAAATTTATTAGAACGTTTCAATTTTAAATTGTAGTTTCATGTAATTTTGTTTCTTTAGTTTTGCAATTTCATAAATTCTCATAGTTTTCCAAATCATGTTGTATTTGCTGTTAGCATATGTTTGTTTGCGAAACCTACTTGCATTCTATTGTTCGTGAATGTGTTGGCGTCATTCCATAAAGTATGGTTCTTTAAGATTTTATTAGCGAAATTGATTTTCTGGATAGAACTTCTATGTTGAAATGAGATTTAGTTATGTATGTCAACGAGCCGAGCTGGCTTGCGAACCGAAACTCGAGCTCAGCTCAAGTAAAAATGGTTCGATTTTTTTTTACCCGAGTCAGGCCAAAAAAATTCTAGGCTCATATAGTGCTTTCGGCTCAAGTCGGGCCGAGTCGGCTCACTTTTTTGTTTTAAATTCATGACAAATTATTTATTTAGCCTCTGTTTGGTATCCATTCTTTTTTTCATTCTCATTTTTCTACTAATTTTCAACCATACATTCATCAATA